CAGAACGCTGACTATCCCCATCACCCAGCAGGCCACTTCCCCAGCACACTGACTGTCCATCACCCAGCAGTCCACCTCCCCAGAACGCTGACTGTCCATCACCCAGCAGTCCATCTCCCCAGCACACTGTCTCTGTCACCCAGCAATCCATCTCCCTGTACTGACTGCCCCATCACCGAGCAATCCACTTCCCTATAGTGACTGTCCCCATCACCCAGCAATCCACCTCCCCAGCACACAGACTGTCCCCATCACCCAGCAATCTACCTCCTGTACTGACTGTCTCCACTGCTCTGCACTGCATTCTCCATGGCTACACAGTCCTAGAGTCCAACAGTGCATCCTGCTTTAGTATAAACTTTCCCTGTTGCCCAGCAGTGCTGCCTCTGACTTTGGTGGTTTTAGAGGTGTTGGGGGGGAGGCAGTGCCTGCTCCACTTGTGCACATGGCAACAGGAGCCCAGTCCCAGCTATTTCCTCCACTCACCTGCTGCCCCAGTGTTTCCAGTGGCTCCACGCTCACCAGGGGCTCCTCCCTCTCCTTTAGGACCTTCGAGGCCTCTAGTCCCTACCAAGCCCTGCATGCCTGGGGCACCCACTTCTCCTGAGGAAGAGACAAATAGGGACAAATATCCTGAGAATGTGTTTGGCATGTATCATTTCCTTAGCAGTGGAGCTTTTCACCCACAGACCAGGGTGAGAGAGAACTGGGGAGATTGTGCTCCTTGCTATCCGGGGTCCTCTGTGGAGGGTAACAGAATATTGTCAGTGTGGGTATGTAGGGAGAGGGGAGCTTGGGGATCAGCAAGTGTGTCCCTTCATGAGCTGGCAGGAGCCCACGGCAAGGCCTTCCCCATACTGATGTTCTGAGCTCTTCTTGGCACTTTGAGCATGCCAGAGGGCCCAGCAGGGACTTCCACCAACATTCTTCCCTTCTCCCTCAGAATCACCACCTACCCATCACCTACCTTTGGGCCCAGTCTCTCCTTTTGGGCCTGGTTTGCCTTGAGGTCCTATGTTCCCCTGACTCCCTGACGGGCCCTCTCTTCCAGCTGGACCAGGCACACCTGGGGGTCCTGGAGGTCCTGGAGAAGAGGACCAGTCTACTCAGTGACCCTGAGTCACCTTGGAAGTGGAAGTGTATGATCAGATGGGGGTAATAATAGAAGTCAAACAGGTAGCATCATCCTAAAAGAGAGCCACCCAACAGTAGCCCCAGTCTGCCCTGGAATCAATCAGTGCCCCCTTCAGAGTGACTTTCTTGCTTCTTTCTGGGCTGGTCTCTTAGAACGTGAGAGTTCACCCTCCACTGGCACCACCTGGAGCCATCTGTATTCCCCGCCTAGCTGCTCACCATGTGGCCCAGAGTCTCCCTTTGGTCCAGGTTCTCCAGTGGAGCCATTGTCCCCTTTGGGCCCAATTGGGCCAGCTGGTCCAGGCATCCCTGCTTGTCCTACAGCTCCTGGCAAACCTGTAACAGCAGGAAAAAAAGGATAAAAACTTGGCTCTAGGCCCAAGAGGAGCCAGTTGCCTGCAGGAGATCAGGTCCCCTGCGTTCCTTTAGTGGCTGCAAGGCATAGACGTTCCACTTCCACCTCCACACACCTTGTGGAATGAGTATGAGCATCTGCGTTTTATAGGTGAGGAAACAGGCTTTCCTGGGGTCAGACTCAAAGGCTGGATTCAATTAAGACCTGTCCCACTGGCTGTGCAATGCTCCTTTCCCTGCCCCAAGGCCATGGTATTGACAACAAGCAACCTGCCAGCATTTACCCTTATTGGCCCCTTGCTCTCCCTTTCCCAAACCAACATTTATATCAGAAATGGCACCTGACAGGTGATGCTAACTTGTTCATTCAGTTGTCTGTCCATTTGCTCATTGTTTTGTTCATTTGTTCACTAAGAAACCATCCATGGAGCACCTACTGTATGCTTACCGCTGAACAAGATGCAAAGATTAGCACCAGGACCTGATCTGCAACAGACTTGTAGTAGAATTTTAAGTCGCGAGACAAGGGTAATAAGTGGCGAAAACCATGCATGAGATGGTGCTGATCCCCCATCCTGCCCAGCCCCAGCCCAGCCCCAGCACACACAGATCATGTGGAGCTGTTTTTCTGAAGGAGGAAGTAGGACTTAAGGGCAAGATGATGTGGATATTTGTGCAGAAGGGTGGTGGCATGTCAGATTTGGAATCTGTGCTCCCGTGGTGGGAGGGGCCACTGTGCACTGCTGATGGTGAAAGGCTCTGTGCTGGGCACTGTGTCCAGCTTTCTCTTCTGATCCTCACTTGGGATGAAGCAGGAGGATTGAATGAACTACTGAAGTGAGCGCTGAAGTACAGGGCTGGGCAAAGAAATGTGAGCTCCCATTCCCATCCTCCTTAATGAATTTGATCAGGCCTGAGTATGAGGTCTCATCCTTTCTCACCCTTCATGTGGAAGGGTGATATTCAAAATCTCTAACACCCTGCACAGCCATCATTCATCAGAACGAAAAACTGCTGAACGCTGGAGCCAGTTTGGGAGACCCCAGCTACCCACTCTGCTCATTCTTGGGACAGCAGGAATGTGGAGGATTCTCAGGAAGAGTCAGCACAGCTGGGGTGATGGAGGGAGGCACTGGAGGGCTCAGGGCAGCAGTCATTTGCCAACTGGTCAAGAAGTGTTTTATGTGGACTCAATGTTTGCAGGAAGCCCACCCCCTTGGCAAGGAGGAAGCCCATCTACAAAGCTTCCATAGCAGAGTATCCAGAGTTCCTTGGTGGGTTACAATTCCAATGCTTAACCCCTCCCTGCCAGGAAAGCCCAAGGTCCCAGCTCTACCTGGATCCCCCTTCTCGCCCCGGGGGCCCTCTCTTCCATCCCGTCCATCGCGACCAGGCAGGCCATTCTCCAAGGGGCTACACATGACCAGGGTGCAGGCATTAGCCACTGTTTTCTGCAAATAGGTCTTCACTTCTGCTCCCAGGATCCGTGAGAGCTGTGTGAGCAGGATCAGTGTAGAGAGAGGCAGGAACAGCATGGTCTGGGGAGATGAACGGGAAGACAATGGACATGCTCTTGGGTCCAGGAAGTGGGTTAGGCTTGGCCTGCCATGCCTCTTCTTCCTTGCCATGGGTGCCAGGACCACAGGGTTCCAAAATCAGCTTAGGGACAAGGTGGGTACACAGTGTGGCCTTGAAGGGTATGCGTCACCCAGCTGGAGCTCTGACATGGCCCCAGCAGTCTCCACCTGTTCTCAAATGTCCCATGCGATCCCTTCTTGTGCCTTCTCTTGGACACTGCCATCAGACTGTAGCCTGTCATGGCAGAAAGGATTAATCGAGTGCCTTTGGGTAGGGCTCTTCCCCTCCCAGGACCTCCTTCTCCCTCTATGTACAATTGAAGTGGCTGGCTTAGCTCAGACTCCTCTCACTAACTGGATGGAGTAGCACTGGTACACACAGTGCCGATCTGAGAAGGAGCCAGAATCCCGATGGTTGAAATGTCCATGCCCAGCACAGGCTGGAGCGTGGCTGCACGTTTGCCAAGAGATGCACCATTCCTGGACTCAATGCTGTCTCCACAAGGAAATTCCCAGGGGAACCCAGTGGAAGTTTTCAGAGATACAAATTAGGTACTCTAAAGACCCTGGCACACCTGGAGTTGTGCCCAGACCACCTTAGAGGGACGGGGCAGGTGGGGTGGGCAAAGCAGTCAGATGGAAGGCAAGTTTGGGGGGCAGCTGTCCAACAGGGCATCCAGGTACCACCTGGGAGGGTTTTAGAAGCCTGGCTGTAAGTGAAATCAGGGTAGGGGCCAGAACCTGGGTAATTCCCTATGCTGGGCATCGTTTGTCTCCCAGAGAGAACCTGGAAAGTTAGGACAGTGAAAGAGCCTTGGGGGGGCGGGTAGCAGAGGCTGGGAGCAAAGCCCCAGGGACCTTGGGGGAGGAGAATGTTTAAAGAAAAGGGGTTCATCAGGTAGGCTGGGTGGAGGCAAGGGAGAAGCTTTCCTGGCTAGAGAAGTTCTACTTTCCCTGGCTACTGGTGATTTGGGGTTGTAATGACCACTAGCCTCCCTCTATTTTGACTTTGCAAGTTACTTGTGTGTCCTGGGAGTCTCTAGAAACCCTGTGAGTTGCACAGCAAGCTCAGAGGGCTGGCAGCAGCTGCTTTGCAGTGCTGTTCCGACAGAGGCTCAGTCATGAGCACCAGGGCCAAGGCCAAGTCCAGGCCAGAGCGAGGGCAGTGTCCCCTGGCCTGCAGCCACCTCCGATTTAGGGAAGAACAAAAGGCAATAGGCATCCTGTCCACTAGCTCAGGATGACGCAGAAAGCACCACAGCCCATCTTAGCAAGAAGGGGCGTGGGAGAGAGTTGACTGAGAGGTATTCTGACCTGGGATTCAGCAAAGATGACTTAGCTGGGGCTGCGGAGGGACTGGGCAAAGCCACGGACGCCTTTAACCCAAGCAGTGTTCAGTTTACACTAAGCTTTCAGAGAAATATTTTATGTAAAAAATACATATATTTTATAAGATTTTACATGAGATATTATTCATCTGAAAATTGGACCAGAGACCTAGTTCAAGAAGCATATTTTATAGGCAACAATTTGAAGCTAAGAGAGAAGCAGCTTTGTTCATTTCCCACAGGCAGATGGTACCCAGGGGGGCTTAGCACGGAGGTCTGTGAACACCTGGCTTGTTTTCCTCACGCTGCCCTTCTTTCTGAAGAAATCAGGGACAGAGAAGGAACCGAGAGGGAAGTTGAAACTGTAGTTTACACTCAAGGCCTCCATATGGTGGCCTCTGGGGTCTGGGTTGGCATCACATCCCACCCACCTGTCTCCCCCAGCCCTAAAGCAAACCTCCCACCGAGATAAGTCACCCACGTGAGAGGCAGAAGAGCCCCTCATCACCCCACTATGCCCTTGCTTCCCACATCCACAGACCCTACACCAGAACAGCTGCACGACCCTCCCTTCTTCACACCAGTGAGACGAATAGCCCAGCTGGGCAAGGGCATATCACAGGACATGGGAAATAAAATGAACAGCAAGCACACAGACACTCACAAGTTGCTTCCTCCAGGCCTTCAGGAAATCCAGGTGAACTAGCCTTTTCTTGGCAGACTATTTATGCTTTGTAACCTGAGCCATCCAGCCCTGGCTTCTGAGAACCGCCTTCAAGAAGTAAGATAATTTTCTTCCTTGTTGGCTCACTTGCTCTCACCTCCACCTGGGTTCTGGAAACCTGCCACTGACATTTGTCACTAACCACATATCGCCTTAGAGTTTGTAGAGCACTCTCAGCCCATGATCTCATCTGCACCCTCTACAGCCCTGTGACTGAGGGTCTCATCAGTGTCTGTATTTTACAGAAGTCCAGGAATCAGAGGGCCAGAGATGACTGAGTTGCACAATGACCTACAGCTATTGCAAAAGCAAATTTCATCTGCAGCTCCCAAGAGCCAGGATCTGCTGTGCCCACTTCTCTGCCTCCTTCACCTTAACAGCACCGCCCAGATATTGCAAAAGGGCTGGGAGCCTCTTGGCATAGGGGGCGGGGTGGGGCAGGTAGAGGGGCTGCAGAGAAAGTAGCCTGTGGGGGCAGGGGGTTGGGGAAGGAGTGACTCTTGGTCTTCCTGCTCTAGGGCCTCAGAAAGCCCCCACTTGCCTTTTGTGGGATGGGCTTCCCTTAGCAGGCCTCTGTCTTGCCCTCACACAGGCATTCTCATCTCCATCTTCTCAGCTGATGTTTGCCCTAGGCATCGCTCTAACAGCACTTTGGACTCCTGAGCTCTGATGCTCTGTTGCAGCCACCCTCACGCAGCTCTTAAATTCCAGTGCCTGTGGGGCAGCTGCTCACCCAGCTGCCTTTGCGATCATCTCTTCTTGCATCTAGATTCCTCTGACTTTGTCTCCACCTGCGTCAGCCTTTGCCTAGGTCCACACATCAGCAGACGTACGTCTCCAACACTTTCCTTTGGCCACCCCGGTGGTGACACTGATTTGCTCCCGGCTTTTGATGCTCCTTGAGGCATTTCCTTCCATATTGTAGACTACAGTGGTCTCTCCAGTAGATAAAGCTCTTCCGTTTCTCCTATTGCAACTTCTTTGAAGCAGAATCCCATAGTGGAGACACCTGGGCCCCTAAAGGTAAGCTCTTTTATTGTCAACACCCAGCCTTCTCCATTCTAGGGTGTACATGTGCTTCCTAGAGGCCAGCATGGGGTCTGCACTGAACCACTTCACTCTTCTCCTTACAAAGCCTACTTCTCGAATCTTATCCTGGTGGTTGGGTACCTTCCTGATTTATGGTTATTCTTACTTCTGGATCCCTATACTCTGTCTCTTCTTGCAAACTTGCTTCTGTTACCGGCCATCTCTCAGTCTGTCAAATATATATCTCACAAAGCCCTGCAGCCCCATTAAAGCAAATAGTATGGTGTTTCCATTGTCTAACACCACACACCGGCAAAGCCTAGTTTTATTTCTGATCCAACTCAGATCCTTGTGTTATAGTGATAACCTTTGCTTCCCTGAGCTACACCAGCGTGGTTGAGAAGAATGAGGTTTCGAATGGTGATCACAATGGTCTTCACCCAGAGGACCTCTGGGCCCCCCTCTCCTCCCAAGAGAAGATCTGTTGTTGTTGTCGTTAGTTGCCATCAAGTTGGCACCTACTCATGGCAACTGTACGTACAACAGGATGAAACATTGCCCGGTCCTGCACCACCTTCACGACTGCTGGTATGTCCGAGTCCATTGTTGTGGCTACTATGTATTTTGAGTGCTTTCCAACCTAGGGGGCTTATCTTTTGGCACTATATCGAACAATACGTGTTGTGATCCATAGGGTTTTTATTGGCTAATTTTTGGATGTAGGTTGCCAGGCCTTTCTTCCTACAGCCTTCATCTGGAAACTCTGCTGAAACCTGTCCACCATGGGTGATCTTGTTAGTATTTGAAATACCAGTGGCATAGCTTCCAGCACCTAGCAACAAGGAAGCCACCACAGTATGACAAACTGACAGATGTGTGGAAGGCAAGGTCTAGGATGACCATATGGTTTCTTTGGTAGCTAGCCATTGATGCTGTCCTGCAGTCTCAACAGTATCTGCAGCTCGTACAGAACTTCATCAGCTGCATTTTCTTGTCAGAGCTAAGCTATGGCCTCTGATATTTGCTTACCAGCTGCTTGCCCACATCACTGTGAAACTCTTGGCTCAGGTAGCCCATTACACACCTTTTCACTGCTAGCCTATAAGGGGAACTTCTGACACTAGTTGTCATTCAAGACAGTAGTTCTGGACTCCCCCACCTCAGCCTGATTTGCTTTTGTTTGATCTTGGTCCCTGACTCTAAACTCTTGGCCCTGTGACCCTGACATCAATTCTCACCCCTGGGTACCGGAGTTTCGGTGTTCTCACTTGCTGTCCCTGGTATTTGGACCTTGATTCTTCTACATTTCTGGCCTGACACTTTCCTCTAGCCTCTAAGCTTATTTTCTTGGAGAATTTCTGGGGTCCATGCGTGGCCTGGGCTATAGAGTCTCACCCAGACCTCTGACCATTTCTGAGCTGAGCCAGCACAACTTAGCTGTGTACTCAGTGATTGGGAAAGGAGGTGGGAACAGATGTCCAGCATGATGGGTACTGGCCCAGCATGACTTCTGGAGATGAACCAATCTGCTTATTCTAAGACCTGAAACAATGCATTAACACTGATCCATTCCCTTGTAGTTCCCTTGAAGTGTCACCCCATCCCCTTCCATGAAAGAGTTCTCAACAATTCCAGCCCAATGACCATGCCCACTCATTTTTAGCCAATCTATGCTGTCTTCCTTTGTGATTTGTGTTTTCAGGTTCTTTTTCTATCAGCTCAGTGAGACTGTAAGGGCTTAAAGAGTTGGTTCACACATTTTTGTTAATTTTATTGTTGTTGTTGAGAATATACAAGCAAAACACACACCAATTCAAGGTTTCTGCATGTACAATTGAGTGATATTGATTACATTCTTCGAGTTGTGTAACCATTCT